GTCTGGGATTCTTTTCCAGAAACACAAGATTTATTTTTCCGTCTCACTCTCTCGGCTTTGAAATCAGTCTGCTGTATTAAGAGTTAGTTTCGCTTTTAAGGCAGACTGATAAGATAGGTTCACCGCTGCTTTTCTTCTTTCAGCCAAATATTTTCATTCTTATTTTCAGCTTAATGGGGCTGTTTCATAAATCAAAGTCTTCAGCTTACTTAGTTGTTGTATATTTAAAGCTTATATTGGTTGTTCTCCTCTCCCCCGGTAAAGGGTTACTCACGGCTCCGTGCCAAATATGGCTCCCGCTCTGATCTGTGCTGGGTGATTTCTTCAGAGGGAAGAAGTCCGGGTTTGCCTCCCATTCTTCTCCCCCTGCTGCTCACCATCTGCTTCAGAGAGACTTCTCCTAGACTCTCCTTCAATCCCCATTTCAAAAGGGGGATGCCGGATTGAACGGTTCCAGTTTTTCCAGAGAGAGCTCTTCTCTGGAGCTACTGGCAGCACCGCAACAAAGCCCAGCCTCTCAGTACTTGCTTATCCTGATGGTGTATCAAATGCTGTGTTCCACATCAAGATCTGCTTCACAGTTCTAGAAATTCAGCACAAGAGGAAGTAAGCTAGAGAAGTTTGCAAATAAGGTATTTCATTTACTGACACTTAAATTCAAATGCACTGCATTAAACAGATAAATACAATTAAATATCCATAAATGTAATCCTGTATGGCCAAAGAAACTTCATTTAATTCAGAACTGTGCATTTAATGCTGTGTTTAGAGTTTACATTTGCTATTGCAAAAACCCAATAAAGTAAACACAGAGTTTAAGCAAGCTATAATAAATAAGATCCAAGACAGAAGCATAACCTATGAAGTAGAAAATTTGCAACACGCTTTATAATGGGCAACACTGGTTCAGTAGTTCTGTTCTGTTCTAGACTAATGAGGGGATTTAGCCACAAATGTTTATGACACCCAGAGTGATGTAGTAGATATAGTGGTAGATGAGCACTCAGAAGATATGGGTTCAAATCCCTGCTTGGCCATGGAAGCTCACTTGGGAGTGACAATGGTAAATTTCTACTTGAAGATCTTACATACCTCAAAAATTCTTTTAGGGTCCCTGTATGTCAGAAGTGCCTTGACAACACATAACAGGCAAAAACAGCAATCAAGAGTTTATAAAAAGAGGTCAACTATCTATACTTTACGCTTGTATGTGAGTTTTGTTGAAAATAAATTAACCAAACTAAAAAAGCCACTTCCCATTTTTCCCCTAAGCTTTAAGATATCTGTAAAGCGAATTTCCAACAAGAAGCACTTTTGCTCTAGTTTGAAAGTTACTATCTGTTAGGTCTTTAAGAAGAAAAAATGTAATTAACAATTGGTTAGTGCAGGTGGAGTCATTTAGTCACTGCCTACCTGACAAGAAGGACATAGCCCTGTGGAATTAACTACCATGAGGTGAACCACTAATCTGATTGGTTGGAGGTAGTATAAATTAAGAGGCTGGTTAGTGTGCCCTTCACAGTTCTCTTCTGACTCCATGCTTATGCTTTGTCTGTTTGGCTGCAGAATGCAGTCTTTTTATGTTCCTGTGAGCACTATATAAATACGTACAGCCAGTAAATATTATCTGCACTTATTCCTGGGGTCTTCCGTGTGCCTTACTATGCTGGAGCTTCTGGTCCAAACCTTCGTAAGGAGAAAATCTTCTGCTGTGATTTTAAATGCTAACACTATCATTTGTACATCCTTCAACTCAACTTGTTCTTTTAAATATCCTAATCAAATTACTAAAGTAAAAGAATAGCCTGTAATTTAAAGTGTGTCAAAGACATAATTCCAGATTTGTTCAATACTAGGATCATTTGAAAAAGTAAACAAGAAATTTTCACAAAAGCTGTCTCACCCTCCAACATTCATCTGGCAAGTTAAAGTGCACTGGTTTTGGTCTCTGCTATATATAATACCATTAAAATACTTTTACAATATATCTTCTAATGACTTCTAGTAGTTAAATTACTTGAAATATTGTATTTGGTTAGTTTTAAGAGAAGTTGGTGAGTCTGTTCAGGTGTAATTTTTTTAGGAACAGGAAGGCTGGCATTCCAAAGCCTCTTAGAAGCATTCATTCGTTCATTCAGCCAAGTACCTAGAACAATATTCCACTTCCATGCACTTTACTTTGAAAGTAAGCACAGTTCATTTTGCAGCCAGGGGCTTTAATCCTACACGCTTTAATCTGGAACTAAACCCCATTGTAATCAAAAGGACTACCTTCTAAGTACTGTAGACATGTACAGGATTGCACTGCGAGTTCTTGCCACACACACTGATTCCCCCTTGCGAATCAAGACGTGTGAACAAGTGCATAGATATAGCTGATCAGACTAATGTAGCTGAATTCACTCTTTGCAACGAGAAAAATCCATTTGACGAATTTCTCTACCGTTATGATGGGCTACCCCTTTCCCAGTTTCACACCTCAAATGTCTGGCGACAAATTCCAACGACTCCTGAAGATTGAAGCATGAACTCTGGCCGACTGAAGGGCTCCTATAGCCCTTCATCATCATCTACCATCCTCCTTGCCGCACTTGTTGCCATGTCCTGACCCGATTTCTTCGCAAAACAGCTTGCCTACGTGTGGAAGGCAGGGCTGGCCGAGCAGCTAACATTAGGAAATAGATGTCGCGCTGAACCTCAGCTGCGGCGTGTGTGTGTAATAAAAAGCAAAAAAAACCCAAGAAAACAAAGCAGCACCAAGGCCTGCGCTATCGCAGGAAGTGAAGGCTTCTGCTCTCACTAGAGAAGGCAGGTGCCGGGGAGGTTCATCTAAACCTCCCCGAATCCAACAGTTGGCAGCGTCCTCCTTCCCCACTCTAAAGCAACCTCTCCTCCCGATTTTATCGACGCCTCTTTGCTCCGATCCCCCCCCCAACTTCCCTCCCGGGTCAAGGGTTCTTTCCCCACGACTCCCCGCCTCCTTGCAGGAAGATGCCGCGCGGAGAGGGCGACCCAGCCAGGGCTCCTTCCCGCGCCCTAGTGGCTGATCACGTGGGAGCGCGGCTTCTCTCTCCCCCCCCCCCCCCCCCCCCGGTCTCCGGAAGATCGCTTCGGTTCAGACCGCCCTGTACTAACCAGTCCAGTCCCCAGGCGCCCAGCCGGGTTGGAGACGCACGCCTGAAATGACAGCGGGTCTAAAGGAGCGCCAAGGCACCTGTTTCTTCAGGGCCGGGACGCGTCTCAGCTTTTCCGTGCTGCCCAGTTTCAAAAGCTGAGAAGAGAAAGAGGCGAATGCCGCTGTCTGTGCTTAGCCTTACTTATCATCCTCTCCCGTTGCCTCCTGCTTACGAGGAGTCCCCATCGGCGCACCTTGCATGCCTCTGAGGTTGTGCTAAACTTTCCTGGAACTTGGAGGGAGTTCGCGACCTCCACCCACCGACCGCCCTCCTCCTCCTCCGGAATCATGTTTGCATCCACGACAGCGAGGCAATGAGTTGCCCGGGCTTCTTTCCGCAGTGGGTACAGTACGTTGTAGCAACTCATGTCTGCTTGTGGGGCGGGGGGGGGAAGAAGAGAGAGAGAGCAGTGTTGATTGTGCAACGCGCCCCTCTTAAAAAGCTGGAGCAACAACAGACGCAAGCGAAAGATGCTAAAAGGCGGCGGTGGGAGAGCTGAAAAGAAAAAGGTTCTCGAAAGGAAAAAAGAACTGTGCAAAGCGAGTGGACTGATTCCTCCCCACTGAACAGAAGCCGCTGCCGCCACTGCTGGACTTCAAGCTGTTTTATGACTTTTCGAGGGAGAGTTCCTTCTTGCATAACCGCTAGGAGCAGCGCCTTATCACCCGTGTCATCATCAGCACCATTATCCTGACTACTGCTGCCGCTTTGCTTTTGTGCCTTTCGCTGTTTTGGCACGAGGGACGCATTGGTGTGGGTGTCTGTGCGCGGGGGGGGGCTCCCCCTAGGCGCCTTCCCGCTTGCTTCTCGTCGGTTGTTATCTGGTGCTGCCCTTGCCTTACTTCGGCGTTTGGACGGGAGAGCAACAGCTCGCCCGCCCGGGCAGCCCTCGCCCTGCCGAAGCAAAATGTACTCGGAAACCAAGGAGAGCAGCGGGAGCCTTCGGCACTAGTTTGTGCCTTTCCAAGGCGCTCTCTCCCGCTGGCTATTTAATTTTTTTTCTTTTTCTCTTTTTACAGTTTCTATAAATCAAGCCAGCCGGCCCTTTCCTCTCCCCTCCCCCGGTGCCCCCCCCTTCTTTGAAAGCAGCCCTTCGCTTTCCTTGTGCCATTTGTGGATGTCCCTGGATCTCGCCTTGAGGAGACGAGAGGAGAGCAACAGTCTGTTACGTTACAGCTGCGGCGAGACGCTTCCTCCTCGTCGTTCGGCTAAAGTTTTACCATGAGGAGGCGGCAGCTGAGGCGCTGTAGCCTTCAGGGGGGGGGGGGGGGGGAAGAAAGAGAGAAAGACAGGACGGAAAACAGGAGCCTCCCAAGAAGGGACGCGTGCGAGAGGAGCCGTCGCCTGCCTGCCTGCCTGCCTGCCTCCTCCCGCCGCCGCCTGCCTCGTTCTCCCGGCCTCGCTTGCCAGCAGCCCCCGCACTCCCTGCTGCGGGTTAGGCAAGGTGGCCCCCACGGCTCCTCTGGCCCCCTTCCTGCTTAGCGGGAGCGGCGGGGAGCGCGCGAGGCATTTCCAGCCCCACTCGC